TCGGTATATTTTTACTGCAGAAGAGATTTCAGTCATATTAGCCCCAGTTCCATCCACTGAGTTGTTGAATCGTCCGTGTTTTGTTTTATGTGAGTTTTCTTGTTATTCCAACTTTGGCCGCATTCTGTTGTTGTTGCGGCCGATTTTTAGGATTGTTAGTAGCTACTTTTGGTTGAGCTGCTCTAGTTAGATCGTGATGAGAGTATTTTTCATGAAATTGATTATTTCTGATCACTGTCTACTTCAGTGAGTGGTCTTCGATTTAGAGCAACAGAACAGAAGGAACTTGCGCTGTAGAGGTGTGTAATAAATCTTCCGTCTGAGTCTTTTCGCTCACCAACTAATCACGGTGCCAAACACTGTGTAAGTTGATTAATGACATAACATACATAATTTTTTCAAACTAGTTAATTTTTCTAAGTTATCAATTGCATGTATACTCGTGAAATTTCAAAGTGAAAACCACTCACTTTGGTAAGTGCAAACTGTCATCAGTTCGAATTTTTTAAAGTCTTAAACAACTACTGATAAGGATGCAAGGCGCCAGGTGGTAAGGAGATTGAAGAGAACGCTTCCGCACTTTATGCGGATTTATTTGTACCAGCCGCTTTTATTTGCTTGTTATCAGATTCATTGCACTGGCACTCCATTGATGAATTGTGCAGTGTCCGAGAAATGACTCGAGAAAGTAGGAATTTTTTGAAATTGTGGTTTTTTCTTTACGAACTTTGACATCATTGAGCGTCATTATGCAAAGGTAATCACTATACTTCTGTCGAATATAGAATGCAAAAAATCAGATTTACTGAATATTTTGACAAAATGCATCTATGTGTTTTCTGTAAAAGTGCATAAGCAAACAGAAGATAGACCAAAATGCATGTTTCTTTGTTTTGCAAATGCAAAACCGCTCACTGTTTCCCAGAAGAACAAAATGTCATGGAATGCCTAGTTCAATCTAGAGCTGCTTCAAGCTGTTTTTGGATCTTCTGCCTTCCAACTAACTTCCCTCCTTTGTTCCAGGTATGCTTTTCCTTTTGTAATTGCGATTGCTTTTTTCTTCTTTTTTAATAAAAAAAGAATTCAATATAATTCAGTTTTTTAAAGCTATGTCATTTAAAGCAATCTTCATCTCGAGTCGGACACCATTCGTTTTTGAAGTATATAAGGGCTTACGGGGCTGTGCTTAAATGCTTAAATGTTGTAGGAGATCTGTGTTTAGCTCTTATTCGTTCCTTAATTACCCTAGAGCTTACCGGAAAGTGGATGATATCTGAGGTTGAGCATGTTTTTCTTATATAGCGAAATCACTTCTCAAGTCCATCACTGATCAGAGCATTTAACAAAATTACGGTTTTCACACCTTTCTTCGATCTGCTCTGGTAATTCAATTTGTCAGTGTTTAAAAGAAGATTGTAAACTCAAACGTTTGACGCTATTACATCCACACCCTAATTCAGATGTTTACCTCTTCGTTAACAATACGCTAGACTGTTTGCCGTCGGTGTGATTTTTGGTCTAAGGTCAGTTTATCAGATTGGCGAGAGTGAGACTGAGAGAGAACTTTGCCGCTCACTCGTGTTTTCGCCCGGTTTCACCAGGTTCATCTTTTTTGCTCTACTAATAAAACACTTCCTGCTTCATTGTTTTTATGGATTTTTTTGGAGTTTTACCACTATTGATTTTGCTGCAGCAGTTCTCCTGTAGACGTGACCGATGACAAAATGTGGCGCCATCGACGGCGACGTGGAGGTGGGACAGAACGGACAGATATCTCTGTTGTCAGCACGTCGACAATGAGCGACAGACAAAAATCGATCTATCGTTCGGAATCAGATTTTGTTACACTTCTCCACTCACATACACTATAGCTCCGACCTAGCGACCGGCTGGTGACATGTGTTGTGCGAGCCACATCGCCACCAAACCATGCCGAACCGGTGGTGGAAGCTGTGATGTTCTCCTGCGGTCCAGGGATATAATGCATCTCCTGCTCGCAGATCTGAACGATAATCAGCGATATTCGTCTGATGATTCTCAGCAAGCGGTCATCAAAGTAATTGCGACATTCTTCTTTATAATATGATTTCTTTGAATGGGCTCTAAGGTCTGTGCAAGCTACAACAGAGCAACGGCGAAAATGTTCAGAAAAATCAATTTTTTACGTCATTCTTTTCTTGGCATTTCTTTTTTAGTTTGGGATCGAGTCTCGCAGTCTAGTGGAGCAAAACATCTTGACTACGAGATGAAACTCTGCGATCCCGCTAGACGGCGTCTACTTGGTTACGGTACCTTCAACAACGTTACACAACTTTCGCAGTGGTCGTACTTCCTTCTTCTCCTTCTTCTCTACTTTGTATGCAGCTTAATAAAAGGATGAGATGAAAGCGCCAACATGCTCCTCAGATTTCATTAAAGCGCTCGCGAGTAATGCAAGTGAACGGTATATCTACATTCTGCATTCACCACGGACTTTGTTTCGCAGCTATTTATGTTGTTTGTCAGCGTCTGTGCTAATGTTCACCCCCCAGTTACACCGTAGTCATTTTTTTCGTTTTGTTTTCTCAAGAATTCTTACTAGCTTACTAAGTGCTTTTTTGTAGTGCTGAGAAAGGAGATTTGTTAGAATTCTATGAAGAATTAAGAAACCCCTTTATGTAGCGAACTATAAACTTTGAATTTTGCCCTGCTCGCCTTAATATAGTCTTCTTGTCCTTTCCA